TATATTACAATGCATGTTCACTGACGTATACAGACTACCGTATATTACAATGCGTGTTCACTGACGTACATAGACTACCATATATTACAATGCATGTTCACTGACGTATATAGACTACCATATATTACAATGCATGTTCACTGACTTATAAAAAATACCGTATATTACAATGCATGATCACTGACGTATATAGACTACCATATATTACAATGCATGTTCACTGACTTATAAAAAATACCGTATATTACAATGCATTATCACTGACGTATATAGACTACCGTATATTACAATGCATGTTCACTGACGGATATAGACTACCATATATTACAATGCATGTTCACTGACGTATATAGACTACCGTATATTACAATGCATGTTCACTGACGTATATAGACTACCGTATATTACAATGCATGTTCACTGACGTATATAGACTACCGTATATTACAATGCATTATCACTGACGTATATAGACTACCGTATATTGCAATGCATTATCACTGAGTTATATAAACTACCCAAAAAATGTTAACTTCCCATGGCGGTCGCTCGAAGAGACAGCCGCAGAAAGTCCACGTAAGTACATTCATCCAGTTTCTACGTTCTAAACACGTGTTGTGAGTCCGAGGTGTGTCGTTAACATTGCTGGTGTTTTGCGTGTATTTGGGTCTTCTCTCTTTGGTAGTCATATTTCAAAGCTGATGTTTCTTCTGACAACCGATCACAGCAATATATTTCATAATCCCCTTCATTGTTTGAGGAAACAGGAATGTGATGCTTCTTTTATCTACAATTATACTGACCATGTCACGGAAGTGTCAAACAACAGAAATGCCTGAGAGTGAGTGAGTGAGTTTAGTTTTACGCCGTACTCAGCAATATTCATTCTATATGGCAGCGTTCTGTAAATAATTGAGTCTGGACCAGACAATCCGGTGACCAACACATTGAACATCGATCTACGTAATTGGGATACGATGGCATGTGTCAACCAAGTCAGCGAGCCTGACAACCCGACCCCGTTAGTCGCTTCTTACGACAAGCATAAGTTACTGAAGATCAATTCCAACCGGGTCTTCACTGGTGGTTTTCTGGCAGAAGAAGCGGAGAGTGTCATGGGTGACCAAGCCTTTCCATTGAGTCCCGAGATGATACAAATGCCAGGCATAGCTTGATACAGGGAACAACGTATATTTCAAGAAAATTAGCATTTTTACCATAAATAATCATGGGAATTGTGGTACAGGTCGAAGTATTGCATTTATTGTACCTATGAAGTGAATGCTCTCTTTCAAACGTTTCCTCCCAATTTGTGATTTATGCTGAAGCACGCTGAAAGCCTCCTTTCCCGCTAGATGGCGCATTGCCGCAGCTTCGTAACTCAAATAAACACCGACGCTGCATCAGTAATCTGTGTTGTTTGTAGTAATTACGGCGAGGGAATACCCGGAGCGACAGGCCTGCTGGGGGCGAGAGTCGAAAAAGCGGACCAAACCGAGAGAATATCGGGGGAAGCTCTGAAACAAACCAGAGAAAGAGACAGATAGGATTCGGAAGGAGGGCGAGACGAACAGCAACAATTCTAGCGGAGAACCGCCACCGTGTCTACAAAGCGAGAAAGTATTTATGTTATCTCCGACCCGAGATGCAATGTGCATCATTACTAATAGTGTCGGGGAACGGTCTCATCGTTTCTGTTGTCGCGGCGGAATGGGGGTCTTAGGATGGAGGATAGACTTAACAGAGAGGCACCTCCTTGGCAGATCTGATTGGGGGACCGCAGTGAGGGCTAGGATAATGTATGGAGGTTGGGGGACAGGTGGACCTGATAACTCAGATATATACTTTTATAAAATATTTAATATATTTCATTTCATTGTATTTAATAGCTCCATGTATAACCTTGAGCTGATATAAACACCCGGATGTTTCTTCGATGTCGTTTATATAGAAGTTTGATCATATATGACAAATAGTTTCATCACAGCGATGGATCAGTGTGTTCTGGTTTACTATATGGATTTTGTGAAGCCCATTTCTGGTGTTCCCCGCCGTGATATTGCCGTAATATTGCTAAAAGCGGCGTAAAACTAAGTTCACTCACTCGCTCACTAATATATGGATTTACAGACCGCCGACATATAGCTGGAATATTGCTGAGTGTGGTGTAAAACTAAACTCACTCACTCACTAATATATGCACATACGTATTCTTATGAACGTTGATCTGTTATTTCTGTGGCTGCCTCGGCTAATGAATTCAAGTACACGAGAGTTATCATGAAAATGATGGTAGTTTCATTGATTGTTGTCAATTATAGAAAAACGTATTTAAATACAACTTTGGTCACACCATGGCTTCTGGTGAGCGGACGCTGTTAAATGAACTTCTGATCGTTTTTAATCCCACGATGAATCTAAGAGGAAGTCAACGTGTTCGGGTTTGACTAGACTTGCACAAGTCTCTAAGGTAAAGAATAAAAAATAATAAATAACAGACTGGAGTCCTTTGTACTGTCCGCTTATCTAGACTTGCCTCTTTAAAGGATAGAATTACTAAACATCCATGTTTGATAAAAGTGTGCATACAATATGGATGGGCGACCATTTTCTTCTCAGCTAAAGTCTGGCTGTATTTGTATACGCTCGTACCGTGTGTGCTTGTACTGTGTGGTGTTCACAGAATCACACAAGGGCTGAAGGGCAAGTGATGCGTACAAAGAACTAGCTGGGGCCGCCATATTTGACATCTCATTTTGATGTGCATATATTCGTGTTTTGACGAATTCGCGTGTGAATAACATCCGCTGACTGAGACCGTGTTCGGCTGTGGCTGCCCCCACAATCAGTGTTTTTCTTCAACACATTTCCTTACGATGACTCCACGAGTCCCAGCGGTTTCACCGGATCGTGGACTTTGACCCGGTGTCCTTGTCCAGCATTATGATCTGTAATAAACAAACAGCATGCGGAACTCGAGCTGTCACGCCCTGGTCCCGACTGATATATGTTCCATGTCTATTTCTATCTACTACCCTATCCAGTGAGTTGCATTACAGGCAAGCGATTCCCCGGAACGCGCGCGTTTGATGTTCATGAACGAGTATTATTTCATGTTTCACTTTAAGGAAGAAATGTTCAAGTCACACCATACTGAACCTACTAACACAACGCCAGATTGAACCTACTAACACAACGCCATATTCATCAACGCCTGATTGAACCTACTAACACAACGCCATATTATCAACGCCTGATTTCTACTTTAAGGAAGAAACGCCCGATTGAACCTACTAACACAACGCCCGATTGAACCTACTAACACAACGCCCGATTGAACCTACTAACACAACGCCTATATTGAACCTACTAACACAACGCCATACTGAATCTACTAACATAACGCTATATTGAACCTACTAACACAACGCCCGATTGAACCTACTAACATAACGCCGTATTGAACCTACTAACACAACGCCATACTCATCAACGCCCGATTGAACCTACTGACATAACGCCAGATTGAACCTACTAACACAACGCCATACTCATCAACGCCTGATTGAACCTACTAACACAACGCCCGATTGAACCTACTGACACAACGCCCGATTGAACCTACTAACACAACGCTCGATTGAACCTACTAACACAACGCCCGATTGCTACCGATTGAACCTACTACTAACACAACGCCCGATTGAACCTACTAACACAACGCCCGATTGAACCTACTAACACAACGCCCGATTGAACCTACTAACACAACGCCGTATTGAACCTACTAACATAACGCCATATTGAACCTACTAACATAACGCTATATTGAACCTACTAACACAACGTCATACTGAATCTACTAACATAACGCTATATTGAACCTACTAACACAACGCCCGATTGAACCTACTAACATAACGCCGTATTGAACCTACTAACACAACGCCCGATTACTCTATCAACGCCCGATTGAACCTACTACAACGCCATACATAACGCCCGATTGAACCTACTACTGACATAACGCCAGATTACTGAACCTACTAACATCAACGCCAGATTGAACCTACTGACACAACTAACTGATTGAACGCTAACACAACGCCATACTCATCAACGCCAGATTGAACCTACTAACACAACGCTCGATTGAACCTACTAACACAACGCCCGATTGAACCTACTAACACAACGCTCGATTGAACCTACTAACACAACGCCCGATTGAACCTACTAACACAACGCCCGATTGAACCTACTAACACAACGCCCGATTGAACCTACTAACACAACGCCGTATTGAACCTACTAACATAACGCCATACTGAACCTACTAACATAACGCTATATTGAACCTACTAACACAAAACCATATTCATCAACGCCGTATTGAACCTACTAACATAACGCCATACTGAACCAACTAACATAACGCTATATTGAACCTACTAACACAAAACCATATTCATCAACGCCATATTGAACCTACTAACAACGCCATATTGGACCTACTAACACATCGCCATACTGAACTTACTGACCACGCCATGTGGAACCTACTAACACAAAACCATATTCAACCTACAAACTCAACGTTATATGGAACCTGCTAATACAACTCCATACTGAACCTACTAACATAACGCCAGATTGAACTTACTAACACAACGTCATACTAACAGCAGGCCTATTTTTTAACTAACTAACAACGCCAGATTGAATGTAATGACAAAACCATGTCCACCTACAAACACAGAGCCTCATCTATTGACCAATATCGAGTTTACGTACATAATGTCATGCCGATAGACTAATCTGAGACTTAACGAAAGTTGTTACAGACAATGCAAAAGAAATGATCTGCCGAGATGTCATTGACTTTTCACCAAGAATCTATCATATGTTCTGAACAATGTTTCTGTATCAAAATCTGACCAAATGTCAAAAATCGCTGTGCACTGATCACATGGGTAAGAATAGATATCACAAACACACGCTTGATAAATAAACATTTATTCGGATGAGATGATAATGAGCTATAATACACAAACATGTACATCTTATTCACACATTGTGAAACGGGTCAATATTGTTCTCACTGATTGGTGAAAGTAGTTTAGAATTATTTTCCAGATAGAAATACCCTGTAGTTGCTACTGAGATCTATACAGCTAACATGCACATCACAAGTAGACGTGGTTCTAAGTTGTACTGTTCTCGTGTAGCGTGGACCAGTCAGAAAGACTTAGACAGATCATGAACCAACTGATTACAAACGTAACACTGCCTTAACACTGACATACATGATAACGTGTTATGTCCCCCGGTGTGCCCTGGAGTATCTGACAATAATACATCAGAGGACACTTCTCTTAAAGACGAATTTGTCCGTTGGAGCAACACATCCGGGTCCCCTTGGCACATCTGCGTTCGTTATCGACGGCGTCCGGAAATGGATTCAAGGATCCGAGTGTCGAACAGTCCTATCGAGGGTGCTGATTGTCTGCGATGTCTCGGCCCGAAGTGCCAGACCCGAGCTTTACACTCCATCACAAAGGCGCTGTATGGAGTTTATGTACAATTGTGCAGCCAAAGAAACATCGGGCTGGATTCAAGCTTTGAATTACCTGAGAAGGTAGTGACACCTTAGAGTGCCATGTAATGAGTCATTACTTTTGAGACGACCCCGTCCCTACCACGCCCTAATGCCTTGGTGCATTGGCTGCTGGACATATCCGTTCTGTTGTATTTGGTTGACCTGGGCCATGTGATTGGGGACCGTATTATAACTGGGTGATGAATAGGCAAAGGGATTAACATTGTACGGAGCAGAATAAGGAGGGGTCATATTTTGTCCCATGCACGGCTTTCCATCTCTCACAAGCACTGGCACAGCAACCCTTCTTGGGGGCTGCATGGCTGACAGTTCCAAACTTTTATCTTGTCGTTGTCTTTTGCATTTGTATCGTCTGTTCTGAAACCAGATCTTAACTTGGGTTGAAGTCAGTTTCAACATGGAAGCTAATTGTTCCCTTTCCGGTGCGGAGAGATACCTCTGCTGTTTGAATCGTCGTTCCAACTCGTACACTTGCGCCTGGGAAAATAGCACCCGGGGTTTCCTCTTTTGTCTTTGTTTCAGAAGTTGACATTCTCCTGAAGAGTCGGAGCTTGTTGAGGGGGTCTTCGTCTTCTCCCCCTCGGGGCGTGGGGGACTGGAGGCCGTGGCGGGGGAGCCGGACTGGGTCACGGTGCACGGCAGTGTCGCTGTAAGGAGAAAGGCATCCACATTAGTCACATTTGTAAGAATATTAGGATAATTTTTCTACATCTATTTATCTATTTATTTATTTTGGAACTGTCGGGATGTTTTTTCAAAGGTTCAGTTCATACACCTGTTGTTCAGTTCATCCCGGCATTATCAACTAAAAAGAATCTGCGAGCACACATCGCCACAGATATCATCAGCACTACTTTCCGTGCAACTCCAGCCTATGTACCTACAATGACCACCACTACCCCTACTACCACACCACGTATCCATAACTACCCACTACCTGCATCAATACCAGCAGCATCAACATTATTGACATGCATCGATACCAACACTACCAGCATCAGTACCACCTACATCCATGTTGTCTTTGATACATCACCAGAGTCGACATGAATCACCAACACAACACCGTCACCAACACTAACACTACACCATCACTTACACTACACCATCACCAACACAACACCGTCACCAACACAACCTGATTTAATACCAACATTTCCAGACACCATCACCAACACAACCTGATTTAATGCCAACATTTCCAACCACCATCACCAACACAACCTGATTTAATGCCAACATTTCCAACCACCATCACCAACACAACCTGATTTAATACCAACATTTCCAGCCACCATCACCAACACAACCTGATTTAACACCAACATTTCCAGACACCATCACCAACACAACCTGATTTAATGCCAACATTTCCAACCACCATCACCAACACAACCTGATTTAATACCAACATTTCCAGCCACCATCACCAACACAACCTGATTTAACACCAACATTTCCAGACACCATCACCAACACAACCTGATTTAATACCAACATTTCCAGACACCATCACCAACACAAACTAACTTCACACCATCCTTCTACTTCGAGATACACCATCACGACATCGACACCACCACCACCATCATACCAACCATCATTGCCACTTCCAACGTAAGCCTCATAATTATCATAAGTAAATGTATGTCATGAGGCCAACTCTGCTGCTGTGGCTGGTGGTGTGAACACAGTGACGCCCCTCCCAGCGACGGCAGCGGTCGTACAGAACACGTTGTCCCCACATGCCGTGCGCTAGCTTATGTAAACCACGCGTTATAATTACTCCACGCAGTCAAAGCGGAAGTACACCCAATAAAGCGTGGAATTGTGAGAGATATTCAACACGGAATGCTCAATTTAATAGATTCTCTATCATTTTTACACCTGCTTCCAAGAAAGAAGTGTAAATGTTTTACCAAGTATATTTCAATCAATGAGAAGCATGAGAACAGACGGGCCTATACGAACCTGCGTAATAGGATATAGCGGAAACGGAAATCGGTTCATTAGCCCTGTCGAGTCTCACCTCGCCCCTTTACCAAGACGACAACATGATAAAGAATATTGCCACCACTGTAGTGGAAACTGGGCAGTGGCAAAACACAGATAACACTTCTCCCTTGACATATGAGGTCAGAGGTCATTTGCCAACACGTAATAAATGGTTCTGCATGAAATACGTTATAACATGAACGCGACCTGGGCGCACGCACAGACGTATTCTATTGTGTTTGGGAGAGCAACAATGCATCTGAAATGGGCTACAACTTCAAGTGACAGAGATTGCGAACGTTCAATGTAACATCACATAACAGTTCATGCACTGTCGATTTTTGTAAACATCGAAACTTTAAAAAGTTACTGAGAGCGATACTATTGAGGTTATGGGTAACAAGGATTCTGTGTACACCGCTTGTAATCAGGGCAGTGTGTAAGATGGGTGTCATGGTTCCTAGCCCACGTATTGCGACATGTAATGTACAAGCTATATATACAATGCTTACCGCCATCAACCTAGAGGGGCTATATGACTAGGGCAGTATTAACAAGACTATGCCATACTACGGAATTCTTGTAATAATATATCTAATCAGTTAATCAACTGCTGATCGCGCCTGTTCACGGGTATTTCGAAATGCAGAAATCAGGAAGTCTGTTTATTCCGGAAGTAAAATTAACTAACCCACAAGGGGCGAGTTGATTCTATTTCCGGAATCTACAGATTAGAGTGATTTCTCCAACTTGAATTACATCATTGCTGATATATACATTCTGTATTTTTTAACTGGGTCCAATAACGTTCGTTTTATTTGTTAAAATGCATATTTTGAGTGGCCAATGAATTTCTGGTTGGTTCAGAATCAACTGCAACCACAATTGCGTGACGTCATGACGATGGTACAACTGGTTACCGCTCACATTGTGTTATTGCGACATCCGGGTTACTCTTGTATCGACAGTGAATATACAGAAACGCACAAGAAGTCGGGCTGGATATGTCACGTGACACAGACGATGTTTCAGTCAAGTTGCCTCCAGGGTTTAGCCATCTCTATATTTGGTACATTTTAATGAAAACGGATCGGGTACTTGAAATACGAAATTACTAGACAATTACACTACAGAGATACAATTAAGTGCGCACTGACAACGTTCACTAACGTCCGAAACGGAGATTAACACCATTGTAAGCCAATAGCTTCCGGAAACAGACGGTTGTCAACACGAAGCCAACGCCTATATTTATGTTTGAAATAGAAACAAAAGGGTAAATTTGTGTTTATGAATTATAAGTTTCGTACAGGCATACATTTGGACGCATTTAAATTCATTTCAAACATAACTGCTTTATATTCTTTATTACTCTTTTCAAATTGTTATTATTAATATCTTTAATAGTATTGTTGTTGCTGCTGCTGTTGTTGTTGCAGTTGTTGTAATTATCAAAGACACTTCTCAGTTTAGGTTATCTTATGCCTGAATTTTCAATTGTAAATATCTAAAAATATCCAGAAATGCTTAGTCAGCTCTAAAATAATGCTTATGCATGGTTTTGTAATTTCATAGTTATTTTGATTTAAAGCTTGAAAAACAATTCTCAGAATGCAAAGCTGGTGATCGTTATCTGACAATTCCAAATCAACAAGTATGATATTTGCGGTTACTTAAAACATGGACAGGTCATGTAGTTGCGGATGCATTCCGTTCGTACCCCTCTCTTCACTGTATGTATATATTTTCACCCAAAATGACCGAGCCACAGGTTACTGTTTACTCACTGGTAAATATAAATAGACGTAATGAAAAAATTCAAATCCTTTAAGACAATTCGGTTTACTTTTTTCTGTCGCTCATGGGTTTGCCCCCGTCAATGTAAGTAGTACACTGTAGGTATTATTTGGTTGTGCCATTGTAGACTCCATACCATTTGACGTGACCTCCCACGGAAACAAAAATGGGTGACAGTGTATTCAATCTCGATCTGGTCCTTCATCCTCCTAATACATTTGTTAACCAACAATAACAGACTGAGTAAGTGAGTACGTTTGGTTTTATGCCGCTTTAAGCAGTATTCCAGCAATATCATCAGAAATGGGCTTCACACGTTGAGCCAATGTGGGGAATCGAACCCGGGCCTTCAGCATGACGAGCGAACGCTTTAACCACTAGGCTACCTCACCACTCCTGTCAACTGAAAGCTTGCTACATGCTATGTGACACTGGGTCAAGGGACGCGAACTTCCCGCATCAACTTAGTACTCTCGGTATTAACACGTCCACCCAGGCAGGACATTAGAACGTTATAAAGTCGGCAATCCCCCCAGACTACAACAGTGCGACAAGGTATCGATATTCTACTGCGTCATATAGAGGAGGTAGCACTGACCTAACATAACTGGTCAATCTCATTCTACCTTTCTTCATTTCAGTAGTGTGTGCATATAGGTACGATTAAACAGGAGAAAGATCCAGAATATTATTTATACTTCAGTTGAAAGACGCCACTCTTGAATGAACCACTTCAAACATGAATGAGAATTCGGGGAGAGGGAATAGAAGTTAATCCTTCGCCAGGTTAAATCCATCAAAGGTTAGGGCATATTGCATGGTCCGTGGTAAAGGTATCGGGAACATCATAAGAGATTATCTGGCATGGAAGTAAATTTAAAACGCCACAGAATATCAGTTTGGAATGTCTGACAAAATTAAACCTGTACAATATGTGCAAAAGGCGGAATTACTATGGGGCCAAGTGTCAGCATGTGTGATCTACCGGTCACACCCAACACCGTACTACAATAGCACCTTAACACCCTTACACTCGACAAGCACCTGACTAACACCCAACTAACCCCTGACGAACACCCAACTAACCCCTGACGAACACCCAACTAACACCTGACTAACCCCCAAATAACACCTGACTAACACCGTAACACAGTCGTGGCCTGAACATTTTCATGGCTGTGCAGTTGGTTGTGGTGGTATGGACTGATTTCAAAAGAGATTCGTGGTTTCTCGTTTTCGAAATACTGCATAAACCGCAACCTATTCATTTCCACATGAGAAATATTTGAGCTATTCGCTGTTTTGAAGGTTTGCCTGTGTCTGCCATCTCCCGGCTGGTCACCGGATCCTGACCACTGTCCGGCGGATGACGGTGCGATGCCGTGCCACACAGCCCCGCCACCATCGTCCTCCAGTGAATCACCACCGACACACACATACACATTGATAGGAAGCATGTATTGTTGATAACTCTCTGTGCACTAAGACAATGTCTAGGTATATATCCTGTCATAAGAGCAGCATATGCTTGCAATCTTCCTGTCATAAGATGTTCTGTAATTGATGTGAGATGTAAATAATGAAATGTGTTCATATCAGATAATAGCGGTGACAACCATACAAGTATCAGGTTGTAGGTTGTAGTGACAACATACAGGTAACAGGTAACAGGTTGTAGTGACAACCATACAGGTAACAGGTTGTAGGTTGTAGTGACAACCATACAGGTATCAGGTTGTAGGTTGTAGTGACAACCATACAGGTATCAGGTTGTAGGTTGTAGTGACAACCATACAGGTAACAGGTTGTAAGTTGTAGTGACAGCCATACAGGTAACAGGTTGTAGGTTGTAGTG